GCTCAGGCACACATGCGGTGAGACAAGCAAGGCGCACACTGCACACGTTCCCGCACAAGAGCCTGCTGTGGATGTGCTATGTATCTCCTTCTGTAGCATCACCCGTCAAGGCCGTACGAAGGCGTTCAACGTGTCGCGACTCCTCCCGCCCTTCCCGTTCGCGCCCCACAACACCATCGACTTCCCCCTGTCCTTCTCCATCTCGGTTGAGAACGGGAAGACCGCCCGGGCCTTCGTCTGCCCCGTTGCCGACAACGGGGACCAGCAGATGCGCGAGTTTGTCGGGCGAGGTACACCAATCCACTACGTCAACACGAACACCAATCCACTCTTTGTGGCCTGCCAACACCCTGAGCACCGGGAGGCATGCCAACTCAGCCGAAGGCCCTCGGCGAAAGGTTGCGAGCTGTAAGGCAACGCGATCCATCCCAGCTCCGCTCTTCGTTCGGCTTTTCCTCCTCGCGTTTCGCTGCTTTGGTTGGTTCTCGCTTGCAAGGTCTTTGCGTCGTCTCATTTGGTTGGACCTGTTGCCTGCGTGGGATGATGGAGGCTCACGTGGCACCTGCGAAGATCGACGGCGGCCGTGTTGTCATCGACGGAACGGACTGGACCGCCACCGCGTCGCTCAACGTGTCCAATCTGGTCACGAACCGCCCATTCGTCGGCGTGCCCGGCGTCAGCACGCTCCCCGACTTCATCTATGTCAATACGAACTCCAATCCACTCCCACTGAGTCTCCAGGGCGCACAAGTGTCGAAGTCCGAGGAGTTCGGGTCGTTGCTGTTCATCCCATCGGCCAGCGTCGCTGCCGCGCTTCCTGTGGTACGTACGAATGAAACACGCCTTCTTGGGGTCGTGGGTGGGTGGGTGAGTGGGTGCGTGGCTCACGAATGCGTGTCTCTGGCGGTTTGTGTGCAGGGCGCGCAGAAAGCCAACCTGACGCTCGTTCAACTCGACGCCAAGTCGCAGCTCAGGTGCGACAAGCTTGCTACACTCACTGCACAGAAACGTCTATGACTCTGTACCTACACATACATGCCGTGTCTCTTCTTCTGCAGGGTCAAGACGCAGGGCAACACTTCCGTGTTCTGCGTGTCGAGGTACCTGGGCCCCCACCGGTTTGACCGTTTGGGTGTCATCGACTTCCCCTGCTCGTTCGCCATCGCACTCGGGCCAAACGACTCGGCCAAGGGGTTCCTGTACCCCGACGAACTCCCGAGGGTCGAAATCACCGACTTCTTCGACCGCTCGACTCGCCACGCGGGGCTGCCAGACCTGCCTCGCCGTCGTCATCAAATCCGCCCCCTCCACCCCTCCCTCACCAGACAGTGCAGCGGCTGCTGCTGCGTCGGCGGCAGGCGATGGCGGCCAGGAGAGCGAGAGTTCCGACGAGAACGGAGACGAGGGTGAGAAGGGGAGTGAGGACTCTCACACTGAGGAGGAAGGCGAGGAGGGGAGTGAGGACGATGCCGACGACGAGAGCAGCGAGGCCGACACCTCGGGTCAATTGGACGACGAAACCGAGCCCGCGTCTGGCGGAGGCTATCTCAGAATGCGCCGACTCAGCGGAGGTACGAGAGGCACATACGTGTGGTCACGTACTCATGCACACGTGTCTCGGGCGGCTCGGTGTGTGTATGTTGTGTGTGCAGGACAAGTATGTGAGGGACGGCCACAGCCTCATGCTCAAGTGCAAGGGCCGGTCCGACCGAATGAGCTCTCACCCACACGCCATTACCAAAATCAAGATGGTCCACAAGGACGTCAAGAAGCACCTCGGGTGAGACAAGCCAGGCGCACACAGCACTGCGAACGCTTGACAGAAAAGCTTCTGGGTGTGCTTGCAGTGTGTGTGTGTTGGGCGCCGAGTCGGTGTTCCGGGTGTCCCGCTACATGCTGTTCCCCTTCCGCCGCAACCATGACCAGCAATGCCAGCCGCGCATCCGCTGCAAGATGGAGTTCAGCATCGCCCTCGCCCACGACACGGTCGCGCGGGCGGTCGTTGTGCACAACAAGACGTACGAGCGCACCAAGGTGACAACATTCTTCGACCCCGCAGCGTGCCGCGCCACGCTCGAAGACCTCCCTTCAGAGGATCGCATCAGGATTACCATCTGCCCCTCCCCCTCCCCCTCCCCATCCCTCCATCGGCATCGGCGTCTGTGTCTGCGTCTGCGTCAGCATCGTCCTCGGCGTCCGCGTGTGTGTCTGCCTCTGATGGCCGCGACATGCGACAAGGCTGACGCAGCCGCCGCTGGTGCTGCTGGTGTGGGGGGGCATGCGGCGCGTGCGGGGGCGCCTGAGGGCGCCGATGAGGCGTCGTCGTGTCGTGCTGAGGTGCCTGAGGGGTGCGGGGCTGGCGGGGCTGCGAGCGAGGGCAATGATGAATGGGTGGACCATGGCAAGGACGACCATGACAAGGACCGCCACCAGCCGCCCATCGATTTCAAGATGGAACTCGGAGGAGACGAGGAGGGAGCAGAGGGGGCGAGAGTGGCGGTAGCGTGAGGTATCTTGGCGGTCCAATTGACGTCGCATCTCTCTTATGACGTGGTGTGTATGTTTTGTCTCAGGTGTCTCGATCTGATTGCTGCCTGCATTTTATATTCCCTGGCCGGTCTTTATCGTCGCGCTGCTCATGGACAGAGAGAGAGATAGGGGGAGTCGAGAGAGAGATATATAGAATGCCTTCTCCCACACCCACCACCGCCAACGTGAGGCGGACACTATTGGGTAGGGGAATTCCCGTGCCGGACGTCTATGCGGACGACCGCCGCTCGTTCCGACGCAAGTGGATAAGCCTCATGCGCGACCACCCGGAGGTGGGGAGGGAGGGAGGCACATGCACCATTGCGCAATGGCACCCGGGGCATCGACGACGTTCATTCGTTTCTTCTCTCACTGCAGGACTACTCTCAGTGGTATGACTCGGTCAGCGGGACTCAGGAGGCGGCGGACATTGCCGTCATGATTTTCGGATACAAGGAACATGTGGAGAAGGTGCGTCAGACGCACATCTAGCCACACATGGAGCACCTGACACTCTCTGCTGTGCTGTGCGGTGCCGTTTTGCAGAAGACGGCTGAGGCGAAGGCTGCGAAGGCCGCCAAGGATCCCCCCGCCAGCACCACCCGCCAGCAGCAGCAGCCCACTCAGTCAGCCAGCGGACATCAGCCGTCTGGTGCAGGGGCCGGTGCGGATGGGTCGTCAGATGGGTGGACTGACCCGGACGATGAAGAGTGGAATGAGGTCCTGGCAGCGGTAGATAAGGCGCAGGCCTTGGGGTGGCTTGCCCCGGGCTTGCTCCGTAGAACCAACGCCCACACACGAGTGCGAAGGCTACCAGAGCCGCGAAGGATGCCACCGCCAGCAGCAGCATCAGACCCACCATGAGCAGGCCACGCAGATCCCCGGCGTCACAGGCTGCCTTGCACACAGGCTGCCTTGTATCGCTGCTTGCATTTTATATTTGCGGGCCTATCATTCCATGTTCCTGCACACCACTGGATGGCCGAGACGGCAGTCGATGCAGCCATTCGCGTATGGAACTTCTGACTTGTGTCTGGCTGACTCGCTTGCTCGGGCGGTACTCGCGCAGGGATGGGCGACTTTCCTGGCAGAGACATGGAGACAATGTGTTGCCAAGTGCCTTATCGATTTTGTCAACGGGTGCGTTGGTTCTACGTGCTGCCCTTGCGAAATCAGCCCCCGCACTCGATGTCTCCAAGTACGAGTGGCGGTGTCTCGTGGTTTTGGCTGGTGACAATGACGGTCAACATCTTCTGACGGATGCAATATCGCTGCCCGCCATATTTGACGTGAATGAGTGTTTGTACGAATGCACACGAAGACCATGAAAATGATTGACATCCATCCCACATCCATTGATTGCACCCTCACAGTATGGTCTCCCACGAGCACACCCGGTCAGTCGTCCGTCTCCCCCAGCCCCTCAGTGAGTCGTCTCCCCTATCCACACACTCACCCTCTGCACCAGCCCTTGTGTCGATACTTTATGTGCACGCCCACACGTCCGCCGCACACGGAGGGTCAGATGAAGAACGTGTCACTGATTGCACACCTTCATCCATCCATCCAGTATCTGTCAGTCGTCCCTCTCCCCAAGCCACTCAGTCGTCTCCCCGAGACACACATCGTGATACCCTCTGCACTGACCCTCCCGCTCACACTGACTGCTCGTAGATACCCCACCCCTCCCCCTCCCCCCGCCGCCCCTCTCTGTCTGCCGTCTACTTCGCTCCGCCGTGCTGCTGCGATGGCTGGCCCGGGATGATTGGCATCGGGACGCCAGTGTAGGGCGCCATGGGCACCACGGGGTAGTGGGCAGCCATGGGGGGGCCGCCGGGAATGGGCGGGTGAGTCAGGCCGGGCGGCGGGGCCGGAGCGTGGCTGGAAGCCACCATGACGGCAGGGGGAGCACCCTGCATCACACAGACAGACATGTGTGTGAGCGCTTGTTGGATCTCATGGCGCCTTCCTGGCCTCTCACAATCTGTGTGTTTACTTGCTGCTGTCCGCCCGTCTGAGCCATTCCTGCAACTACGCCAGGTACGCCAAACGTCTGCATCAGAGCCACACACATGCAGCAACACACGACGTTATCCATGAGATGTCGGCGTGTGTGTTTACATCGTACCGCTGCTGGGGGAGGTGGTGCAGGGGGATCGAGCAAGCCCCAGGCCCGCGCCTTATCTTCCGCTGCCAGGACCTCATTCCACTCTGCATCGTCCGGCTCGGTCCACCCATCTGACGACTGAGCGGATGGACCGACCATCGCCGCATCAGACGGCGGATGTCCGCTGGGTGGCTGAGGGGAGGGCTGGGGCACCATGACCACTGCATGGCGGCGGTGAGGAGTAAACCAATTGGAGTAAACTTGCACTGAAAGGCTTTCTTGGTACTTGTACTCTCCACCAACGTGTCTGTCTGTCTGTCTGTCTGTCTGTCTGTCTGTCTGTCTGTCTGTGTGTGTGTCCCTCCTTGATGCTCACGCGCACCCGTCTTTGCAAAGCGGCCTGCGAATCTGCAAGCTCAAAGCTCGCACATTCGAGTTTAGCCATCCTCGCTATGATAGCTTTCTGCTTTGGCTTTCTGGTGGAAATTTTGGTTCTCCACAACATCACAGCCCGTCAGAGAGGTCTTCCCATCCGATCAGATGGCTATTTGACTCATCACCGCTGTTGAGCAGTAGGAGTCGGCGGAGCAGCGCTACCCATAGCAGCATCCGGCCTCATCGCGCGCAAGATGGCACAGCGCGAGAAGGAGGATGCTCCCCTCTCCCGCCTTCCCCGCCCAGTTCGCCCCGTCACCTTGCAGAAGCTCCTCGACCAGAGGGAGCTGCGGGTGCTGCCCAGGGCAGAGAAGCTGCTCGACAAGATCGGGCGCTGGCTCGAGATGGACAGGGTGGACAGCGTGAAGGCGCACATGTACATCAGGGCACTGTGCTTCGTTCTGGCGGTATGCACGCACAGGGGGGGCAACGGGATGGTGTGGTGTGGTGTGGTGTGCAGTCCATGCAGTGAGACATGTTTCGCTGTTTGTGGTGTGGTGTGGTGTCAATGTGTCAGGGTGGTGCCTTCAATCGGCCCGCGTCGGACGATTGGTCGTTCAAGCCGTGGCAGCAGCTGATGGCCGACGCTCAGGCTCTCGTGCAGCGCCTGGTGCCCATCGCCAGCACCATCCCCCGACCTCCCATCCTCACACACAAGCGTGAAAAGCCGCCTGAGGGGCCGCTTTCCGGCACCACCGGCTTCTTCACCAGCCTCTTCCGGCACGAGATCTTCTCAAAGCTCCGGACGGAGATTCGTCGTCATGGCGACTTCAACACCACACGACAGCTGCTGCAGACCGCCACCGGGTGGCTCTGGCCAGGTACGTATGGGTAGAATGATAGAGGAGCGTGTGTGTGTGTGTGTGTGTGTGTGTGTGGCTGAGGGGTGCTCACCTGTCCGTGTGCGTGTTTGTGTGTCAGATACCGTCGTGACCGTGCTCATGGATGACGTCACCAAGAACACCCCAACAGAGGCGACGGAGGCACTGCCGGCCATCATTGAACAGCCGTAAGCTTAACTGGCGTACACCAAACACACACGACATCATTTCTGCGTCTCTCTTGGTGTCCTGCTGGCCAGACATGTGGAGTCGTCTGAGGCCGACGAGTGCCCCCCTCTCACCGCCCTGCTGCCCGACGCCATCGCCCCCACCCACCCGCCCGACACTCACAAGATGGCCCCCTACCAGGTGCGATTCCAGCAGCTTTGTGAGAAGCTGCACACCGCGCATGCCGCGTCAGACACTCCGGCGCCTCACACGAGCGAGTACCGGACGGCCATGAAAGAGGGGTACGACGAGTGTCTGTCGCTGGGCAAGGAGATGGAGAAGCTGGCGTGTGAGGGCGAGCCACACGTGCCGTGGCATTTTCTCGCCGCCATTCTCGAGACTCTGGTGGGTGGGCGAAATGCAAGGGAGGGGAGGCAAGGGGAGAGGACGTCATGCGTGTGCGTCTGTGGATGCCATGGCGTTCAGGACGCCTGGGGGGACCCCGGCAGCAGCCGCCTGTCGTCGAAGGAGGGCAGCCGCCTGTCGGCGGAAATCGCAGACAAAGGGGAGACCACCTGGGGCGCCATCACTGGGTGGGACACCCGTGTGGGGCTCTTTGGGTCGCTCCACACCATCCGCACCCACTTTGGCATTGACGCATCACGTAAGAGAGGAGAGGGAGAGAGGGAGGGAGAGGGATAGCATGCGTGTGGAATGGTCACTTGTGTGTTGTGATGTGTTCCGGTGCCGTCAGTGACTGAGTTTGCGACGTTGCTGGAATCGCAGCCTCAGATCTGTCTGGCGTACGCAAGCACGACCAACACCAGCCAATATGCGCTGTCATGTCTGCAACATCTGTGCGTGGGTGCTTCCGTCCCTCAGGTACATGAAGAGGTTCCTGCAAGTGCGCGGCACCATGAGCCACTGCATTGCAAGTGCGCGGCCCGACGTGAGCCCCCCCCTCCCGATGCTGACTCACCTGACGATTCAGCCCGACCTCATCAACACCACACAGGCGGCACCACCACCCAAGCCGTACGCCACGACCATCGAACAGGTACACACACACACACTCGGCAGACAAGAAGGATGTGTGTGTATCGACTCTTTCCGTGTGTGCGTGTGTGATAACCCAGGCCGTCATCCTCATAGAGTACCTCGAGAAGTTTAGGGAGGACAGCGGCGTCTACAAGAACGATGAGTATCGCCGGCTCACAGACGACCTGTACCACGAAAGCGTTGCATTCCTCGCACTCGTACGCACATCAATCAATCAATTACACACACACACACACACTGCTCACACCCCTCTCTCCCTCTCTGTTTGTGCCTCTCTCTCTGTGGTCAGAGCCGCAAGGAGCGCACGACGGTGACACCGTGCCTCTTCCGTCTGGTCCAGGAGATCTTCATGGTGGTCGACCAGCAGCGGCAGAGATGCCTCCCCGAGCCCATCCCCGACAGCACTCTGCCCCCGCTGGCCCTCTTCGGGCGCTTCATGGTGCTGCAAGGGTCTACCAACAGCTGCAAGGGGGCCGTGTTTCTGTTGCATGAGCTCACACAATGCGGCACAGCAATGAGCAACGGCATTGATGGTCAGACAAAAGTCAATCATTCCCGTTGCCATGTGCGCGTAATGTCCCTCTCTCTCTCTCTGCTTGGTTGGTTGGTTGGTTGGTCGTTGCAGTGAGCACGATTCAGTGGGCGTTTCCCTGGCTGGACACCAACATGACCTTCGAGGGCCTGATGGAGCAGTACAGCCGCTACCTCACCATCGACTTCAAGACACACACGACAGAGGACAGGTAGGTGGGTGGGCGAGACGGCCAGTGGTCCAAGCAGTCACTGAAGAGATGGAAAGACGTCTGTTTCGGCTTTTGTGTGGCAGCATCGGATCGATGATCGCAGCATTGACTTCCCCTGAGGCCCTTCTGGAGCCCGAGATCCATCGTGACCAGGACAGCGAACCCGACGAGGCCAAAGAGCAGCTCGAGCGCTACCTCAAACCCGGTGACATGCAGCCTGACAGGTGGGTGGGTGGGCGGGCGGACACGCACATGCTCATGTGATGCCAAAAGGGCCTCACTCACTCACTCACTCACTCATGCGTGTGTGTTATTGTGTCGTGTGTTGTGTATGTGTGGTCCATCTCTCGCAGCGGAGCCGCCGAGGACACCGACGTCGTCAGCGCACCCGCCGACGTACGTCCGGACAGACGCACCCCACATCGTGCCACGACATGTGCGAAACCTATGCCATGGTGTGTGCTGTCTTCTTGCGTGTGCGTGCAGCAGCAGGGCGGTGAGCAGGACAGCCTCCCAGACAGACGCCCATGGGACGAGGCCGCAGTCGAGAGGATCCAAGGAGATCCTTGCCCAGGAGGAGAAGCTCCGAGCGCAGGAGGAGAGGGAGAGGAAGAAGCGGGAGGTGACGACCGCCATGGAGGCGCAGGCCATTGGGTTGGGCGACGTCTCACCGGCCCAGTCGCCGGCCACGGCGTTCTGGACAACAGAGGTGCAGCGGCGTGCGGCAGAGATGGATCGTCTCCCAGCAGACAAGAGCAGGGAGGACAAGCGCAGCGAGGGCAGAGGCAAAGAGAGAAGGAGGGGGGGAACTCGCAACTACCGGAAGCAGACCGAGACCAACATGGGAGGGTGAGTCGAGTCAGATCAGACAGGAACGAGAAGACACATACGTACCTGACGGTCCTGTCGGTCCTCACGTCTGTGCTGTGCATGCTATGGTGCCTGCATGTAGATGGCACCTGATGTACGTAGAGGGGGACGTAGAGACCGCTATGGGGGTCGCTGTCGGCGATTGGGGCTGCCTCGAGGGTGCCGGTGACACAGATGACGAGTCGCGAGACGAGGAGCAAGCTCAGCAAGACATGTAAGCACCGGACAGGACCCGAGCATTCAAACTGCCGCTGACCCCC